AGCGCACGTTGCCGCCTCATCTTGAGCTTCTTGTCCCCCAGGGAACAAGTTACCCCCTGAAACCACCCCCAGGGAGCCTGCTGTTCCCTCAGACCACCCTCTAATTCCCTCAAGAAGCCTGATACCTCCCAAATTCACCTAAAATTCCTGAAGGGACTTGGTGTCCTGTGAACCCATGTCCTGGGAACTTGGTACCCCTGAAACTCACCAGACACCCGTCAGGGGACCTGGTACCCTGTGAAGTGACCCTCAAGGGACTTGGTGCCCTGTAAGCTCATTTGTTTCTCCCCAGAAGATCTAACACCCACTGAACTCTCCCCCAGGGAACTTGGTGTTTCCCAAAGCTGACAAATATCTGCTGAACTCACTTCTGGGAGACCTGAACTCTCTCAACCCACCTGGTATCTCCTGACCCCACACCCACAGCAGACCTGGTACTCCCTAAGTTCTCCCAATGTAATTGAAAGTCTGTTCCCAGGGGACCAGGTATCCCTGATCCCACTCTCCAGGGGACTTGGTACTTTTATTCTTGTCCCCAAGGAACCCCTTGCATCTTGCACCTATTTGATAACCTCTGAAATTTTCCTGGAAGCTTTGGAGAAGTAGGTTCCCCTGACCTCATTTGAGACCCCAAAAGCTTTCTCTATCACTGCAGAACTACGTTCTGCAAACTCCCCCCATGGAGACCCAATACCCCTGAGTCCATCTAGTAGTTTCCCCACCAGTTCATGTGTTAACCCCAAGGGAAGGAATATTCTCATATTCACTTTACAGTCTTGAAACCTGATTCCGTCAGGGAAATTCCTGTTTCTCTGAACCATCTCAGTTTTCCCAAAGGGATGTCTTCTGACCTTGCTTCTTATTCTGTTACTGCCCTGAACCATAATCTCATCTGATATCCCCTCAACATTCTTGATATACCCAGCAGAACCAACACTGTTCCAACTTCCAGCAGTCCTCCACTAGGAATTAATCCTCAAAACCATCCTAGGGAAAAAGATACGTCCTAGACTGAGGACACTCTTAGTGGGACAGACTCACCCTGAAGTCACCAGTCTCCTGGGCAACCAACACTCTCCTGATACCCCCTCCTCCAAAGCTCTGATGCTTCCACAAATGCTCTCCTGGTATCACCTGGAGAAGTGAATCCTTGATAGTCCTTAGGGGAACTAACAGTCTGGAACCTGAGAACCTGGAATTTTGCCGAGAAGAGGAATCCCTTCACAGAACTGATACCACCACAGCCTTGTGGATCCTGCCAAGGAAGTGAGACCCTCTCAGCTGCTCCCAGAAGAAGCAGTGTCATCTTCATCCTCTGCACTTGAATTGATACCTAAATGAGGAAGCAGCCTCTTCCTTTTCCCCATCCCAGTTTCTCAAACACTGAGGATCTGATAACACCAAATCCTTCCAATATCCTCTGGAGGAAGCAGATCCACAGATGAGAACTGATACTCCCTAAATTCCTTCCAGTACTGTTTCAGAGCAGCTGAGAGCTCTGCCCTTCCTTCTCCTTGGGGAACTAATATCTTGAGTCTTGACAACATTGCTCCACTTCAGTGCTACTAATATCAGTTTGAGAAACCAATATCCTGACTGCTTCCCTCAGAAGGAACACTCCCAGACTTTTGTAGGGAACAGGTAGATCAGGACATGCCTTAAATTTCCCTGGAGCTGAATGTCCTTAAGAACGGGCTCCTCCATTTCCATAAGTTTGAGTATTCTAAGTGAGACCCCTTCTTTCCTCCTGCTTCCTCCCAATACATCCAAGTTACCTGGTCACCAGGTGAACAGGGTCCCAGTACACTCTGGTAGTGCAGGGTAAGGAACCTCGTGTACTTGCACGTGAATATTTGTCATGGGACATGCTCTACTGAAAACAAACATACAAACAAATATACCTTGGGACATTACGCCTTGTCCTTGATATTCCCTTTGGAAACTGACACCTCCAGAACAAGCACTTCCAGGTCTTCCTGGTACATCCCCTAGATTGTCCTCTACAGAAGAGAGAACCTCTTACCAATTCAGTCTACTCTTTGGCAAATCTCAAGTGGTGGTGAGCCTCGCTGCAGGTCAGCCCGCTCTGCTCTTCCCCTTCCACTCACAGAGTCTTGTAACTTCCTGGGACACAGACATCACACTTATTTGAGATTGTCCTATTATTGTCCTATGAGGACAGGCTGAGAGAGTTGGGGCTGTTCAGCCTGGAGAAGAGAAGGCTCTGGGGAGATCTTATAGCGGCCTCCCAGTACCTGAAGGGGCTACAAGAAAGCTGGGGAGGGACTTTTCATAAGGGCAGTTAATGACAAAACAAGGGGAAATGGGTTTAAGCTGAAAGAGGGGAGGTTTAGATGAGATATTAGGAAGAAGTTCTTCACTGTGAGGGTGGTCAGACACTGGAACAGGTTGCCCAAGGAAGCTGTGGATGCCCCCTCCCTGGAAGTGTTGAAGTCCAGGTTGGATGAGGCTTTGAGCAACCTGGTCTAGTGGAAGGTGTCCCTGCTGCTGGCAGGGGGGTTGGAACTGGATGAGCTTTAAGGTCCCTTCCAACCCAAACCAGTCTATGATTCTATATTCCAATGGAAATGGTTATTCTCCCAAAAGAGGAAAGCTTCCCTTCCATCTCCTGCCACCACAATGTGATATTTCTAGAGGTTTAACCATGAGCAGTGAGGGAGTGGGTGGACAGGAGGTGGTTCACATGCCTGAGGTTGGACTGATTGCAAGTCTGGGTCTGGAAAAGGAGCTGAAGCTCTTTCAGTGCTAGAAATGCCTACAACTCTGTTTTAATTAACAAAATTCAAGGTAAATTCAGGCAATTTATTATCAGGGACTCAATTTCTCCTGCTTTCTCTGGAACATGAAGTGTTGAAAGCCCAGTGGGATCAGCCAGGCATGTGGTATTTCAAATGCTTTCAGGATTGCAGGTGAGATACCAGGCGTGGTGGGCTGTACAGTGAGTCAAGTAGCTTGGTGTCACCCAAGTCCAGTCCTAATCTTCAGTAGGGAACACCGAGCTGACAGAGATCAGGTCCTATTCACAGGTCTTCAAGCAAAGCAGGGACCTTCCTGTGTCATTTGGATAATTATTTAGCTTGAAGAATGGTTTAGTAGCTGGTGGTGGGCAGATGGCAAAGACAGTGAAAGGCTCCAAGAAGCTCAAAATCAAGATTAAACCAACAAAGCAAAAAAATTATCTGTATCTTATAGCCAACATCTACAGAGCTCACGCAGGTAGAATCCTTCCTGTCTTGTCAGTCTTCTCGTTAATCTGCTGTAGGGTCCTACACTGTGGTTAAAATAGAGTAGAATAAAATAGAATAGAACAGAATATTTCAGTTGGAAAGGACCTCCAAGGATCATCCAGTCCAACTGCCTGTGTGACCCTTGCAGAGACTCTGGAGAGGGGTGGTGAAACAGCCAAGGTGCTTTGGTGTGTTTCATAACTGCAGTTCTATGAGCAGGACACACCTTGGTTTAGCCCAGTGAAGAAAATCCTGTGAATATCATTCCCAGGAGAGAGGTAACGAAATAAATAGTGACAGAAAACACAGAGGGTGGACAAAGTGTAATAGAATCACAGAATGGTTTGGGTTGGAAGGGACCTTCAAGCTCATCCAGTTCCAACCCCCCTGACATCAGCAGGGACACTTTCCACTAGACCAGGTTGCTCAAAGCCTCATCCAACCTGGCCTTCAACACTTCCAGGGAGGAGCAGCCACAGCTTCTCTGGGCAATAATAGTCAAGGGAGCACCATAAGGCAACAGGAGAGTGACTTCCCACCATGCTCTCTACTGCCATAACACAGAGTAGGAACAAAGATTTTGTGAGATAAATCATAGAATCATAAAATCATAGAATGGTCTGGGATGGAAGGGACTTCAAAATAAATACCAGGGCAGATAAAGTGGTGTCACCCCATTCTAGGCACCGAGAATGGTGGCAATAGGGAAACTGATTTAAGCTCTTGGGGAGAAGGACAGAGAACTGCTGGAGAGAGTCCAGCACAGAGCCACCAAGATGATGAAGGGAGTGGAGCATCTCCCTGCTGAGGAAAGGCTGAGGGAGCTGGGGCTCTTTAGCTTGGAGAAGAGGAGACTGAGGGGAGACCTCATTAATGTTTATAAATATGTAAAGGGCGAATGGCAGGAGGACGGAGCCAGGCTCTTCTCAGTGATGCCCAATGGTAGGACAAGGGGCAGTGGGTGTGAGCTGGAACACAGGAGGTTCTGCTTAAACAAACTTCTTTACAGTGAGGGTGACAGAGCCCTGGGACAGGCTGCCCAGGGAGGGAGTGGAGGCTCCTTCTCTGGAGACATTCAAAACCCACCTGGACACCTTCCTGTGTGATCTCATTTAGGTTCCTGCTCTGGCAGGGGTGTTGGACTAGATGATCTTTCGAGGTCCCTTCCAGTCCCCAACATTCTGTGATTCTAGGTGAGTCTGTGATTCTGGGTGAATCTGTGCCAGCGCTAAGACTGGAGTTCTCTCTGATGCTTTGGTTCTCCAGCCCCTTACTGTTTGTTCAGCCTTTTTGATCTCAAAGTGTAAAACCTGACTGTAACTAACTGCTGCAGAAGGTTATCATGAAATGCTGGGGAGGCATTCTGGATATTATCCTCTTTTAACCATTTTTCTGTGCTTTCAGTAGCCGGATCTGTGAAGTGCCTGCAGTATTTTAACAGCTGGCTTCTCCTTCCACAGAAAACATCTTTTCATCGGTCCCAGACGCTGGGCTACAAAAATGGATTTGCTTTTTCTCGGCTGCCAACAGTGGGGATCGGCGGGGAGCGACTGTACGTGAATCAGCTTTCTCAAGCTGAGTTAGATGAATTATCCAACAGGGGACCCACGCTGACCTATGGGCCAGCCAAGAGAGCTCCACCTTTGGGCTTCATTCCAGCACACGTGGCTTTTGACAAAAAGGTATAAAGAAGCTTATTCATAGAATCATAGAATCATAGAGTGGTTTGGATTGGAAGGGACCTTAAAGATCATCCAGTTCCAACCCCCCCTGCCATCAGCAGGGACACCTTCCATTAGATATTCCAGGAATATTACTGGCCAAGTTCAGAGACATAAACAGTCAGCTCCAGAGTTCATGGGACAGCGTGCAGCAGTTTTCAGATGCCATAGCCCTTAGTCAGAGACAGCTGAACCCCAGACTGAAAGAGGCTTTCTTTGCTCGGGAGGAGGATTATAACACGTAAATGATGTAAGACATTCCCCACAAGTTAGGCTAAAGCATTTCCAGCAGGCGTTGGAAAAGAACTTTGATTAACTCTGAAAAGCTTCAGTTTACAACCATTGCCCTGTAAACCACAGCCTGGCCTCCTGTGTTTCCAAAACTATACTGAGATTATAACTGAGCTTAAACTGTAAAAAACAGCCTGCAGTGGGGACCCTGTCAGACTGTTGTGCTGTGGTTTATCTATTTGTGCCTGTGTTCGTCACCACAGCGTGTTACAGCCTGTACTGCTCCTGTACACTCCCTGCACTGTGCCCAGGTGGCCAAGAAGGCCAATGGCATCCTGGCTTGTATCAAAAATAGTGTGGCCAGTAGGACCAGGGAAGTTCTCTTCCCCCTGGACTGGGCACTGGTGAGGCTGCACCTTGAGTGGTGGGTTCAGTTTTGGGACACTCACTACAGGAAAGATGTTGAGGTGCTGGAGCGTGTCCAGAGAAGGGCAAGGAAGCTGGGGAAGGGTCTGGAGCACAAGTGTGATGAGTTCATGGCTGAGGGAACTGGGTTGTTGAGCCTGGAGAAAAGGAGGCTGAGGGGAGACCTTGTGGCTCTGTCCAAGTCCCTTGGAGGAGGGTGGAGAGAGGGGGGGGGTGGTCTGTTCAACCAAGGAACAAGCGATAGAACAAGAGGAAATGGCCATAGGTTGCACCAGGGGAGGTTTAGATTGGATCTGAGGAAAAATTCCTTCACTGAAAGGGTTGTCAAGCATTGGAACAGGCTGCCCAGGGAGGTGGTGGAGTCACCATCCCTGGTGGGATTTAGAAGACGGGTAGACAAGCTGCTTAGGGACCTGGTTTAGAGGTGGAGTTGATAGTGTGAAGTTCATGTTTGGACTCTGTGATCTTAAAGGTCTTTTCCAACCACTACAATTCCATGTGTTTCTGTGAGTGATTAGTACCTCCTGCATTACTTCTTGGTGATCCTATCAGACTGGGAGGTGACTGAGTGTCTGCTTGGATCAGTCCCGAGCTGACCCTTGGGTTTAACGGTGCCAGTGGCACACGCTGTGGGCTGGCAGGACAGTCACTGCGGAGCGTGCGAGGCTCAGCAGACCTGAGCACGTGCAGGGGTTTGCAGGCTGCCAGGCAGGCCTGGGAGGGCCATCTGCAACCAACCCTCATCCCATCTGTGAGACAGTCTGGAGAACAGATGTGCTGTGTTAATTCCTGAGGCTGTTTCTTCAGAGTAACGTAGATGTTGCTGTTTAATCTGTCAGATACTTCTCTGCCCCTTCATTCAAGTCAGAGTAGCAGCAGGAGCCCCAGTGCTGCTGGGGGAAGTCAGGGTCCCTTTTGAAGCACTTTTGCTGAATGGTAGGAACTTGCTGGCTTTATCATCACTTAATTACCCAGCCCACTGGGTTGATGTAGGCTGGGTATGCAAGGCTTGATTGGCCACCTACATCCTCTTAGGGTCAATGAATGGTCTTGGAGGGAATATTCCTTATAATTCTGCCAAGCACAGGAACTGACTGGCTGGTTTGTCTCCCTGTTTCTCCAGCACAAATTAGCTTTTGCTGTCAGTGCTGAATAGATGTGACTTTAGATGACCCACGCAGTTTCTAAAATCCACAGATGTAGTTGAACTCTTCATTAAAATCTCCTGATAGCTTCCCTAAATCAGGATCTGCAAGGATGACAATAGTAAAGAAAGTCTTGTATGTCAGAAAACTAGATTACTGGCAGTGACCAAGCACTTCATAGAATCATAGAATCATGGAATGGTTTGGGTTGGAAGGGACCTTAAAGCTCATCCAGTTCCAACCCCCCTGCTAGCAGCAGGGACACCTTCCACTAGACCAGGTTGCTCAAAGTCTCATCCAGCCTGGCCTTCAACACTTCCAGGGAGGGGGCATCCACAGCTTCCTTGGGCAACCTGTTCCAGTGTCTGACCACCCTCACAGTGAAGAACTGCTTCCTAATATCTAATTTAATCCTCCCCTCTTCCAGCTTAAAGCCATTTCCCCTTGTTTTGTCATTAGTTGTCCTTATGAAAAGTCCCTCCCCACCTTTCTTGTAGCCCCTTCAGGTACTGGGAGGCCGCTATAAGATCTCCCCAGAGCCTTCTCTTCTCCAGGCGGAACAGCCCCAACTCTCTCAGCCTGTCCTCATAGGAGAGGTGCTCCAGCCCTCGGATCATCCTGGTGGCCCTTCTCTGGACTTGTTCCAGCTGCTCCAGGTCTCTCTTGTGATGGGGGCTCCAGAACTGGACGCAGTATTCCAGGTGGGACCTTATGAGAGTGGAGCAGAGGGGGAAAATCCCCTCCCTCGACCTGCTGCCCACGCTGCTCTGGGTGCAGCTCAGTACACGGTTATTGGCCTTCTGGGCTGCAAGAGGTGAAATAGCAGGTGATCAAGGAGGAGTGGGGAAAATGTATTTTTAACACCTGTGTCATGTGTACTACATTTGCAGAAGGCAGGTCTTGCTAAAAGCCCTCATGATGCCTCTGCCATCAGGCACAGATCACGGTACAGTTGGCTTTGATGATTTTCTAGATTACAGTCCAGTACCTTTGCACTGCCAAAGCACATTACAAATAAATTATTTGTTTTAATAGACTAATTGTGATGTTCAAATTGTTTTTTTCTCTTTGGGATATTGCTCCTTTGGCAGATTCTGAAGTTTGATGCCTATTTCCAGGAAGACGTTCCTTTCTCCGCAGAAGAGCATTACCGGATCCGCCAAGTGGTCATCTATTACTATTTGGAAGATGACACCATGTGTGTCATAGAACCTGTTGTGCAGAACTCTGGTCTTTTTCAAGGCAAACTTGTCAAACGCCACCGGATGCCCAAGAATAACCGTGGGGATCATTATCACTGGAAAGAACTGAATCGGGGCATGAACATCACCATGTACGGCAGGACATACCGTATAGTCGACTGCGACCCGTTCACACAGGTGTGTTGCTTGTACTGAGAACACTGACACAGAGAATCCCAGGAAGTACAGGTGGCCAGATCTGTTAGAGCCCAGTAATCTGCACCTGTAGCTTTCAGAATAAGGTTGCTTGCAATCTTTCATTTTGCTTTTTGTGAAGACTTCTTTCTTCTGGTCAATGGGGAGTTCAAGGTGTGGTATTTCACAGAGTCACAGAATCACAGAATGTC